AGGTGAAATATGAAATAATATTCAGGTGAAATATGAAATAATATTCAGGTGAAATATGAAATAATATTCAAGTGAAATATGAAATAATATTCAGGTGAAATATGAAATAATATTCAGGTGAAATATGAAATAATACCTAAATTTAACAAAAATAAGCTTCCAGGGCGCTAGGCGCTCATTTCACGGGCAGCCGTGGTACATTTTAATTTCCGAGCCGGGTCAACCTTTCCGGTCCCATTATGTACTGTATCGCCCGGATAGGGGGTAAATATAGCAGACACTCAATAGGTTGAATTTTCTTTTACTTAAGTGACAGAGGTGCATTATTTTAACTTTTAATTGAGACATTTTATCTTTTTTATTTTTAAAACAACAATTTTTTTAATCTGACCTTTGAGTCGGATCGTTTCAGCCATTTTGTCGTCTATTGGATACAACAAACAGACAAGCAAAGTTGATAAAATAAATAGTAAAAGAGGCAAGTTAGGGTTAACAATAAGGGGTTAAGGTTATATATGGAAATGCACATACAGGAGTACTGATGGAGAAGGGGATAGGGGCAGGGGGGGGAAGGAGGCACGGTTAAATTGGACTTTCATATTTCCTAATAATTTGCTATCTGTAATTTAGTTTATTATAGCGTTATCTAATTACATGAAATGTGATTACGATACATTACTGAAGGTAGATAACTACACTTCGGACAGGAAAAGGTTTCTCAATTATAAAGGGACTGTAAACGTTATTTGAAATATTTCCCCATTAGTACAGCAGCATGTTTGATACCCTTAAAAGTTTTGTATAATCAAGAATGCCTGAAACAAACATAATTTTCTCTTTAAAAATTTATCATAGTTTGTTGTGGATACTCTAAACACTTCCTTGCTGTATACCGGCGGAAACTGTTAGAATTAAACACTTTCTCCGGCTAGAAATTTACGATATAGTCCACGATAGTTATAGGTATGAAGGGTATCGTTGTGTATCAGAGTGCTCTTAGTTAAATTCAGGATCCACTTGAAGTTACAAGTTACAAGTTACAATCAGGCATGTCACTCTATCAATGGATGGTAACTTAAAATTCCTTTTTAAGTCCCTTTTAAGTCGCATTTTTTTAGGTAACCGTATGTTACAAGCGGACTAATGTTCCCAACAGTAAAGTTTTCAAATCTTTATCATGGTTTAAACTGTTTTCAAGTTTTAACAGAGTTTACTGATAACACAACAGATATGGGATGTGTGGGCTGTATTTTAAAACATTGTAATAGTCATCCTTTGAACAACCACTATAGGGGAACAGGCATTTATGTGAAATTTTGTTATAATTTTAAAGGGACTGTAAGCGTAATTTCAAGTAAACCTGCATGCAAAAAAGGCAATCTGATCCTCAGTTATGAATTAGATATCAATGTTTATAATTTGCAAAACTGATTATTTAAAATTTTGGCTTCTCTACAAAAGTTACCTTGCATCTCTACAGCAGGAAAACATATATTATCGGAACACTCAATTAAACCTAAAAAACGACAATATCTTCCACATTAATGATCAGATAAGGTTTCAAGGGTCCTATTGTAAATCGGGCATTGCCATCTTTCTATATAAAAGTCGTAAATACCGATAGTTCTAAAAGGCCAGATTTTAACTAGAATTTCAAAACTTTCTGTTGTAGAAATATTTAGGGGCAAGAAAAGAGCGCAATTGAATAGAATTTGATAGAAAAGGAAAGGAAATGAGTGACTAAAGTACAATGAGAAGATTAAAAAAATACAGAAAAAAATGTGAAAGTAAAAGTCATGAGAAGAGGATACAGGAAAAGGAAGTAATTTAGAGTTTAGATTAGGAGTTTACTTTTAATCAAATTCTGGTCGAAATATAATATAACTTAGGCTGAAGATGGAATATAGGGGGTTGGGGCTGTGGGAGAGAAAGGGGGGGATATTAGGGTATGGTAATTTATGAATAGCATAGATGAAGGAGTGGGGGAAGGGGGTAGTAGGTAGGTAAACTGGGAAATACCGTATTAATACAAGATTCAACTAATTTTTCAGACGTTAAATTGTTTCGGTGGAATTTGCAAAAGTTGAAATTTCCCGGTTTTCCACCTGCTCCTGGCTGATCGTCTTCATAACACTATATATGCCGTTAACTAGCAGAATACCAGCGTTTCTACTTCCTGTTCCCGCGTAGACTCACGAATCTTGGGGCACTACACCGCGTAGACACTTAGAAATCAGGCACAATATACCTATATACCTAGGTCAGTTCAGTTTAGGCCTTCTTACTGTCAACACAGCGTGTAATTCATAGTACAGTGTGTTCGAATCCGTACAAAGTACAATACAGCGCTCGAATACGCGACGTACGTAGTGCACAGTGTCAGCTGTACAATATCACGTACAATAATAAAAATCTGTGAATAATATGATGTTTTGAAAATGAAATGAATTGAAAACAGGTAAATAAATGTTGATTAGATAAATATTATTCTATTTTTTGATTACGTTTAATGTTTATACATTGAACTGTAATTTATTATTTAGTTAGTTTAAAATCTTTAGAGACATGTTTCAAACTATCTCTTTTCTAAATACCGATTGACAAAAAATCTTTTTAAATCCTGTTGCAACCCAATATGGGGAATTACCATAGAACAATGCTGTACTAGTAATTCTTCAAATAATAAAGGTTTTTTATGTAAACATTGGAGTGACATAATCCTAAAGGACAAAATAAATAGAATCTCCGCAAAATCATGTTTTATAAATATTTTGTCGTAGTTTAATTCTATTTCGTGTCAACAAGATACCCAAAACTGTAGATTTCTTGTTTTCATAAAATCGTTTTAAATTTATTATTTCGTTATGTTGTATTGATTCTAACCATTCCTTTGCATAAAAACTGCAGAGAAAAATATATCAAATGGATATAAAATGCTAATTTTAAACAGAAATTAAAAACAAATTTAACAAATTTATTTTAAGAATCATGTCTGAAGTTATATAAAAAAATAATTCTGTAAATTTTTAATGTGAAACTTCTATAAAAAGAAGATGATGTAGGTTAAAAGTTGACAGCCTCTGTATATCTTACTAAAAGAGATTATATAGTTTAACAGTTGAACACCCTGTATATCTTACAAAAAGAAGATGATACAGTTAAATTTGAACACCTTGTATATCTTACAAAAAGAAGATGTTAAAGTTAAAAGTTGACGCCCTCTAGATAAAACATTTATATCAGGCTAGATGGAGGGACTAATAAATAGATAAATGAATAAATGAATAGTTTTTAAGAGAAATAAATGAATAGATGAGAAGATAAATAGACGAATATTTAAATACATAAATAAATGAAAGAAGGAAAAGATAAACAAAAAAATAGATTAAAGAATTTTTTTTAAAACAATGAGTTTAATCATTTAAAAGATCGATAGAAGCATGAAATAATTGACGAAATTCGAGAAATTTTCCCCATACTTTAGAAACAGTTCATTATTTCTCGAATAGCTCACCTTTAGAATAAAAAAAATATGAAAGAATCGAATCCGATAAATTTTCCCCTTATTGAACAACAATCATAATTGCACTCCTTAATTCATCATATTCTCAGTTTTAAATTCAACACTGCACTCGTTAATTCATCATAATATCAGTTTTAAATTCAACATTGCACTCGTTAATTCATCTTAATCTCAGTTTTAAATTCAACACTGCACTCCTTAATTCATCATATTCTCAGTTTTGAATTCAACACTGCACTCGTTAATTCATCATAATCTCAGTTTTAAATTCAACACTGCACTCCTTAATTCATCATATTCTCAGTTTTGAATTCAACACTGCACTCGTTAATTCATCATAATCTCAGTTTTAAATTCAACATTGCACTCTTTAATTCATCATAATCTCAGTTTTAAACTAATCATTGCACTCGTTAATTCATCATATTCTCAGTTTTTAATTCATCATTGCACTCTTGAATTCATCATAATCTCAGTTTTAAACTAATTATTGCACTCGTTAATTCATCTTAATCTCAGTTTTATATTCAACATTGCACTCGTTAATTCATCATATTCTCAGTTTCAAATTCAACATTGCACTCGTTAATTCATCATTACAGATTCCATCGGATAGAAAAAAAGGAAAGCTTCTTATTAATAACCAATACCCTCTTCCATTTTGCGAACGATCCCTTTAAAAAAATATTTTTCAAGAGAAAGTCTAGTCGTAAAATATCATTTTATAGATGATAGCAGATATTTAGACTCCAGTATAAATGAAAACAATAAGAAATTAATGATTAAAGTTACGGATTAGCACCCACACTTGCAGTCACTGAAAAATGTTGTATTAAAAAAATTTTTAATATTTACTAATCATTAAAGGGAGTGACCGGCAATGTATGTTAGTTGAACTGAGAATGTAGCATTGTAGAGAAATTTGAAGGAATCATGTGAAATATATAAAACGTTTTAATGATGTATAATTACTGAGTTTGAGCGCAAAGTAGACATTCAAAATCATCCATTTGGGTAGGTACGTTTTGAGAATCGATTTTTTTTAATTATTAACAATACGACAAAAAGTATAAAAAAAAACTAATTAGATGTTTAGAACATATTTCTCAAGAGAAATTTTCTCAATAAATCAATGTTAGAATCAATTATTTCTTTTTCATCATTATATCATCGTCGTCGTTATTGAATAATTTTTTTTAACCCAATTCTCAAAATCATCCCTCAAAAATAAAATATCTTTGAGGACTTTAAAGATTGAATTTGCGCTCTTGCTGAACAAATATGCACCGTAAAAACGTCTAATAGGTCTCAAATGATTCCTAAAAATGTCTCCACAATACTACATTTTCAGTTCAACTACCTTACATTGCCGATCACTCCCTTTAAACCTTTATTTTTCTAGAATTTTTTTCTCGTCGCTGTTTTTTCGCAAAATATTATAAGAGGGAAGTAAATGTATAGGTAGAGAAATTAAATGATAGTAAAAGATGTAATATCCCGCTAGTGGATATCAACCGAGGAAGATAATGCACCACAAAGTACAACATGAGTATTAAATACGTTCCAGAGAATTCGTGGAACATGTTTTAACTGGGAACTTTATGATCAGTGTGTTCCAGAGAATTCTTGGAACATATATTGACTGGGAACTTTACGATCAGTGTGTTCCAGAGAATTCTTGAAACATATAATGACTGGGAACTTTACGATCACTGCGTTACAGAGAATTCTTCAGTGTGTTCCAGAGAATTCTTGAAACATATATTGACTGGGAACTTTAAGATCAGTGTGTTCCAGAGAATTCTTGGAACATGTTTAACCGGTATACTTACGAACAGTGTGTTCCAGAGAATTCTTGAAACATATATTGACTAGGAACTTTACGATTAGTGTGTTCCAGAGAATTCGTGGAACATATATTGATATATTGACTAAGAAATTTAAGATCAGTGTGTTCCAGAGAATTCTTGGAACATGTTTTAACCGGTACCCTTACGAACAGTGTGTTCCAGAGAATTCTTGAAACATATATTGACTGGGAACTTTACAATGAGTGTGTTCCAGAAAGTTCTTGAAAATCATATTGAATTCGAATTGTACATTGTACTAAAGAGTAACCCAGAAAGTTCATTGAACATATATTTTCACATTATTTACGATATATAGTTAGTATATGTGTTCATCAATTATTTACGATATATAGTTGTATATGTGTTCATCAATTACTTACGATATATAGTTATAAAACTATAAAAGAATTTTAAATAGTATTTGCCTATAACTGTAAAATTAAAGATCCTCTATTATTGTATTTGAAAAATGTTGCTTTGTTCTCAATGGTGACTGCAGGAAAGCACAAAACCTAATATTTTTATGATTATATACTAAGATTAACCTTTGATTTAAGAATCCCAGGATGGGCACTTGATTTTTATTTGTTTAAACTTAAAGGTATTGTCCGCGAAAAATCCTTTAAATATAATGATATATATATAGATTGTCACTGAAAGAGATTAATTCTTAGAGAGAAACAAATCTCAGTTATTTTCTTACTTGACTTTTCTTTAAAAAGTTGCTCTCATCAATGCTCTTATGAGTAACGTTGAGATTTGTGAATGGTAACTTTAAATGTATAATTGTGCCAATTGAAATTATATTTGCATTCTCTATTAAGCATGTTTTATCTAGACTTTATATTTTGCATTTACCGGAATCGTTTATCCCCCTTGGGTCAATCATATCGAAGGTGTATGTATAGGACCTATGATAAAACTTTAAACGTGTCGATTTGTGAACATTTTTCGAAATAGATTTTATTCGGATATTTTGGCGAAAAGTTGCTTTGTATGTATCCGACAATTTACAATACATTTTGTATCAAAACCTTTTCAAAAGGTTTAGGTTTTATTTACAAAAGAGGGGGGAGGGGAGGAATTTGTTTTTAACTTTTTGTTGTGAACGTTAAAAATTTAAGTTGCAATATTCAAATGTGATTTAGAAAGATTTTTTTAAGATCCAATTTTTCTTGTAGCACCTTAACAAAACTGCTTCTTTAGAAAAATAGAAGGCTTGATTTCAATCTTTTAACTTTGAAAGTGTTTACTGAAAAATCATCAATTGGACATTTTATTTTTCTAGTTGATATTCATATATATATAGCCACTTCGATTAAATATTTATATATAAGCTATTTATACTGTAATATTTATACATCAGCTATAAAGCTATTTCTTCTGTAATATTTATATCTAAGCTATAAAGCTATTTCTACTTTAATATTTATATATAAGCTATAAAGCTATTTCTTCTGTAATATTTATATCTAATCTATAAAGCTATTTCTACTGTAATATTTATATATAAGCTATAAAGCTATTTCTACTGTAATATTTATATATAAGCTATAAAGCTATTTCTACTGTAAAATTTATATATAAGCTATAAAGCTATTTCTACTGTAATATTTATATCTAAGTTATAAAGCTATTTCTGCTGTAATATTTATATATAAGCTATGAAGCTATTTCTACTGTAATATTTATACATAAGCTATAAAGCTATTTCTTCTGTAATATTTATATCTAAGTTATAAAGCTATTTCTACTGTAATATTTATATCTAAGCTATAAAGCTATTTCTACTGTAATATTTATATCTAAGTTATAAAGCTATTTATACTGTAATATTTATACATAAGCTATAAAGCTATTTCTTCTGTAATATTTATATCTAAGTTATAAAGCTATTTCTGCTGTAATATTTATACATACGCTATAAAGCTATTTCTATTGTAATATTTATATATAAGCTGTAAAGCTATTTCTACTGTAATATTTATATATAAGCTATGAAGCTATTTTTACTGTAATATTTATACATAAGCTATAAAGCTATTTCTTCTGTAATATTTATATCTAAGCTATAAAGCTATTTCT